GGCCACGAGCAGCGTTTCCACCACGCTACCGAGCCTGCTGAACTCCCCTAGGAAGCAGAGGATCGCGCCGCAGAATAGGAGCTTGGCATCCAGGTCCGAGACCTGGATGACGACATCGTGGAGGTCCGACGTGAGCCAGGCGGGGAGGGCATTGCAGAGAACAAGACAGACGAGCAACGGGAGGAAGGGGGAGGAGGAGGAACAACGGGGAGAGGAGGAGGAACGGAGGGGAGGACGAAGGGCAGGATGAAGGGGAGGAGGACCAGTGTTAACCCAGGGTGCACCCATAATGCTGCAATTACACCCTCTCGTCCTAAATCCCCTACCAAGAAGTCCTTAGCAGCATTTTTCTATACTGCGGGTTTTGCCCCTACCCCGGAATGACAAGCGCCTGGTGTGTTTGCCACTTTGGTGAGGCCCCGTTTTATCGAAGATCCACCCATCATACTCCTTGTAAGAAAAAGGGAAGATGCGGGATGCTAAAGCTCAAGGAAGTGTCCAGCGCTAGCACCGTGTTGACAAGAATGTGCCCTCCGTCCGTGTCAATGATGCACAATTGCAGAGCTACGGTTTTAATTTCTGTTGAGGTTTTAACACGAGCCGCAGTTGGAATAACTGTTAGGAGCCGCCGACATCCGTGCAAATGCTACACATCAACGCAATGTGTCAACGAATCTGCCTCCATCCTTTGTAGCTGTTGGATGCTTGTTGGGTCGAATGTGCGCGACGCTGAGATATGGTCCATGTCGATCTGGTCGACCCAGTTCGATACCATATTTGGCCGGCCCGATCCGACTCGATACAGATACTACCACGATCCGGTGTGGCCCGATGTCTGCATGGCGCTGTTGTGCATCCCGATACGATCTCGAGTCCGTGCCGATGCGGTCCGATCCAACGCACATTTGGATTCGATGCAGTTGCCCGATTCGATCTGGACGGGCCATGTGCTCAGGCGATAGCCAGATTGTGAGAACCACTCGATGTTTCCGCAATTGTTTGGAATTTATGTAATGAATGCTCACGACGCTAGGGCGAGAGCCGCATTCTGAAAACGAACCAACCCTCCATCCTTGTAGATTTTGCACGATTTTGACACGAATGCACGCGGCGCGAAGGCGAGAGCCGCTTCTGGATAATCATCGGCTTTCCATCTTTGTAACGATTAAATTTTGTTTACTTTCATGATAATAATGTGCAAGGAAGTCTGAAACAGCGCTTTCTGCCGCTGCGGGCACCCCCCGAAAAGCAGCGGGGAGGGGGGGTTCTGGACCCCCCCCCTGGGACAATGGTACACCCCCCCTTTCACCCCACCCTGGGAGAATCATTCGGAGGCGTCTAGACCCCCCTCCCCGCCCCATGAGGAAAATTATTCCAGGGGTCCAGAATCCACCCCCCATCATTAACAGCGACAAGGACAACGACGACGTCGCCGCCACCGCTGGCGAACGACGCGGACGACGACGACGAAGACGACGACGACGCCGACGCCGACGACGCCGACGCCGACACTGACGCCGACGCCGACGCAGACGCCGACGCCGACGCCGACGCCAACGCCGACGCCGACGCCGACGACGACGACGACGACGACGACGACGAAGACGGCAATGACGCCGACCACGGCGACAACGATGATGACGACGACGACGACGACGACGCCGATGCCGACGACGACAACGACGACAACGACAACAACGACCCCGACGACGACGACGAAGACGACGACGAAGAGGACGACGATGACGACGACGACGACGAGGAAGCCTTCGACGACGCCGACGACGACAATCTAGACATGTCGGGATGCGGTTAAAGATGGACCGAGCCCAGGTAGGACTCTATGCAAGCTGGATCGAGCCCTGAAAGGCTTCTATCAGTTCAGGATTGACCCTGAGTAGGATTCTATTAGAGCTGGACCCATCAAAGCCGCACCGAACTCCTTGGTGGAATTCCACAAGACCGGGACCCAACCCGGATATTATTTCCCCACATCCTAAGTGGGGTTCTTGTTTAAAATGCACACCCTCCGCGCAGGATCTCTCCTCCTCCTCCCTCTCCTCCTGGCTTCCTCCTCCTCATCATTATCATTATCACCATCACCATCACTCCCCATTCATATCATCATCACCATCAGCATCACCATCAGCATCGCACGATCATTCATGATCATCATCAGCATCGCACGATCACCATCATCATCATCACTACATGCTCACTCATCACGTCGTCATCATCACCATCACCAGTCACCATCAGCATCGCACGATCATTCATCATCATCACTCATCATCATCATCATCACCATCATCATCACTCGATCACTCGTTCTCTGACTCACTCATCATTATCATCATCACTCATTCACTCATCATCACTCACTCATCACTTCGTCATCACTCACTCGTCTGTGAGTAAATTGTGGGGAAGTCTCAGGCGGGAGCCCCCTCCCTATGGGTCCCTCACTTCATGTTGGTAATCCGAGCGGGCCGTCGGCAACCTGTAACTGTCGTCACTTTTGGAGTTCCCAGTCTTGAATTTGGAGGAAGTATCAAGCGGGAGCCTCGTATGTGAGTGAATTGTGAGGAAGTCTCAGGCTGGAGCCCCCTCCCTATGGGTCCCGCACTTCATGTTGGCAATCCGAGCGGGTCATCGGCAACCTGTAATTGTCACCATTTGGGCTCCTCGGGCTTGAATTTGGAGAAAGTATCAAGCGGGAGCCTCGTATGTGAGTGAATTGTGAGGAAGTCTCAGGCGGGAGCCCCTTCTCTATGGGTCCCGCATTTCATGTTGGCAATCCAAGCGGGTCATCCGCAACTTGTAACTGTCACCATTTTATGGCTCCCCAGGCTTGAATTTGGAGGAAGTATCAAGCGGGAGCCTCGTCTGTGAGTGAATTGTGAGGAAGTCTCAGGCGGGAGCCCCCTCCTTATGGGTCCCACACTTCATGTTGGTAATCCGAGCGGGTCATCGGCAACCTGTAAGTGTCACCATTTTGGGGCTCCTCGGGCCTGAACGTGGAGGAAGTATCAAGCGGGAGCCTCGTCTGTGAGTGAATTGTGATGAAGTCTCAGGCGGGAGCCCCCTCCTTATGGGTCCCGCATGCCATGTTGGTAATCCGAGCGGGTCATCGGCAACCTGTCACTGTCGTTGTTGGTTCCCCAGGCTTGAATTTGGAGGAAGTATCAAGCGGGAGCCTCGTATGTGAGTGAATTGTAAGGAAGTCTCAGGCGGGAGCCCCTTCCCTGTGGGTCCCGCATTTCATGTTGGTAATCCGAGCGGGTCATCGGCAACCTGTAACTGTCACCACGTTAGGGCTCCCCAGGCTTGAATTTGGAGGAAGTATCAAGCGGGAGCCTCGTCTGTGAGTGAATTGCGAGGAAGTCTCAGGCGGGAGCCCCTTCCCTATGGGTCCCGCTCGGACCGCGGCGGCGACGTCGCCGAGGAAAATCGATTTGTTTGCTTTGACCAAGGGGAATGGGAGGAGCGCGCGGAGAAGAAGCAGGGGAAGGACGAGGACGGGGAAGGGGTAGGGACGGGGTGGTGATGAGTAGGAAGTGGAGAAGGAGGAGGAGGAGGAGGAGGAGGAGAAATAGCATGAGGGGGAGTAGGTGAGGGCAGAACGGCGGGCGAGAGGAGAGTGTCCGCCAGGGCGAGGAGGAAAAGGGTAAGGGCAATCTAAACAGATTATCATGTTGGGTCCTTCCGTCGGAGTAATTTAGTAGAGGTGGACCCAGCCGTAGAAGGATTCTCTTGGAGTTGAACAGACGAATAGACCCCAAGTAGGGTTATATCAGAGGTGGATCTTGCTTTAGTAGGATCTTGTTAAAGCTGGATCGAGCCCGAGTAGGATGCCATCAGTGCTGGGTCCAACCCTAGTTGGTTTTTGAAAAAAAAACTGGATCGACCCCTAGAAGGCTATCATTATCCCGGCAAAACAACCTAACAGCGATGTGTAGGAGCATATCTGAAAGCATTCCCCTTAAGATTCAGATGAGAATCCAGTTGTAGAATTCTGCTGTTCTCGCAGTCGCAGTCGCATTCGCGATGACAATCGCAGTGACAACGGCAGTCGCAGTCACAGCCTCAGCCTCAGCCTGCCTCAGCCTCAGCCTGCCTCAGCCTCAGCCTCAGCCTGCCTCAGCCTCACCCTCAGCCTGCTTCAGCCTCAGCCTCAGTCTGCCTTCAGCCTCGGCCTCAGCCTCAGCCTGCCTCAGCCTCAGCCTGCATCAGCCTCAGCCTCAGCCTCAGCCTGCCTCAGCCTCAGCCTGCCTCAGCCTCAGCCTCAGCCTGCCAGCCTCAGCCTCAGTCTGCCTTCAGCCTCGGCCTCAGCCTCAGCCTGCCTCAGCCTCAGCCTGCTCAGCCTCAGCCTCAGCCTCAGCCTGCCAGCCTCAGCCTCAGCCTCAGCCTGCCTCAGCCTCAGCCTGCAGCCTCAGCCTCAGCCTCAGCCTCAGCCTCAGCTGCCTCAGCCTCGGCCTCAGCCTCAGCCTGCCTCAGCCTCAGCCTGCATCAGCCTCAGCCTCAGCCTCAGCCTGCAGCATCAGCCTGCCTCAGCCTCAGCCTCAGCCTCAGCCTCAGCCTGCAGCCTCAGCCTCAGTCTGCTTCAGCCTCGGCCTCAGCCTCAGCCTGCCTCAGCCTCAGCCTCAGCCTCAGCCTCAGCCTCAGCCTCAGCCTCGCCTCAGCCTCAGCCTGCCTCAGCCTCAGCCTCAGCCTCAGCCTCAGCCTCAGCCTGCCTCAGCCTCAGCCTGCCTCAGCCTCAGCCTCAGCCTGCCTCAGCCTCAGCCTCAGCCTGCTTCAGCCTCAGCCTCAGTCTGCCTTCAGCCTCGGCCTCAGCCTCAGCCTGCCTCAGCCTCAGCCTGCATCAGCCTCAGCCTCAGCCTCAGCCTGCCTGAGCATCAGCCTGCCTCAGCCTCAGCCTCAGCCTCAGCCTCAGCCTGCTTCAGCCTCAGCCTCAGTCTGCCTTCAGCCTCGGCCTCAGCCTCAGCCTGCCTCAGCCTCAGCCTGCCTCAGCCTCAGCCTCAGCCTGCCTCAGCATTCAAAATGTGGCCCGGGAATGGGGTTCTGGGGAACCGAAGAACACGAAGTGGCCTGCAGTTGGCTCCGGGCATTCAAAATCATGCCCAGGAATGAAGTTCTGGGAACTCGAAGACCACGAAGTGGCCTACAGTTCGCTCCTGGCATTCAGAATCATGCCCAGGAATGAAGTTCTGGGGACTCGAAGACCACGAAGCCGCCTACAGTTGGCTCCGGGCATTCAAAATCATGCCCAGGAATGAAGTTCTGGGAACTCGAAGACCACGAAGTGGCCTACAGTTGGCTCCGGGCATTCAAAATGTGGCCCGGGAATCGAGTTCTGGGAACTCGAAGACCACGAAGTGTGCAACTGTTTGCTTAAAACGACTTCCGCGGATTCTCCCCGGATCCTGCCCGGACCCCCCTGGGGAGTCATGATGCTTTCTTTTGAGACCATTAGAAACTTATCAGTCTTCGCTGTTAGGTAATAACAAGATTCCATTAGAGCTGGATCGAGCCCGAACAGGATTCGAGTAGAGCTGGATTCAGGTATATAAGAGTTCTAGTAGAGCTAAATCCAGCATCAGTGGCATTTCGCTAGAATTGTATCGACCCTTGCGTGACATGTCTGGAGAGCTGGATGAAAGCGCAGTAGGATCCTAATTGGGCTGGACCAAGCCCTACTAGGACTGCTCAAGCTGGGTTGAGCCGTAGTAGGACTCCGTTAGAGCTGGATCCGCGGGGGCTGGATCCAGCCCTACAGCCGTTTTCCTATTGTAGGTTGCAACGTTCAGGCCCCAGTTGCCGCTGCCTCGCCGACGTCGACCCAACGATCTTCGCGCAGGCCTCGATGATTTCTCTGCCATTTTGAGGCCACGCTGGAGCCTTCAGAATGCACGTCGAGGCCCTCGGGCCACGGGCTCAGCACACTCCCTCCATCGCCGTTGAAGAATTCGTGCCCGTGCTGGGCCAATGTTTTCCTATCGGCCCGTGTCGTGCCCACAGGACAACGACTTTAGCAGGGTTAGATCAAAGCTGGATCGCGCCTCTGTAGGACTCAATCCAAGATCAACCCATCCCGAATAAGATTTTTATACGGCTGGATGCAGGCGTACTAGCAGGATTAGAGTTGGATCCAGCCATAGCAGCATGCGGTCAGAGCCGGATCGGTCCTCAGTAGAAGTCAATTAGGGCAGGATCGCTCTACAAGAACAGATACAGATCCACTTCAGTAGGATTCGTCCAAAGGTGGATCGAATTCTGATTCGATTCTGGGAGGTTGGATCGAGCCTTAGGAGCATTCGATCTGAGCCAGCACCTGGCGTGGGCGCCAGCGAACCGTGTGCCGCCGCCGCAGCTGACGTTGTCGCCGCCGTCGTCGTCGTCGTCGTCATGGGCGTCGTCGTCGTCCGTCGTCGTCGTCGTCATCGTCGTCGTCGTCCGTCGTCGTCGTCATCGTCGTCGTCTCCGTCGTCGTCGTTCTCGTTGTCGTCGTCGTCGTGCGTCGTCGTCATCGTTGTCGTCGTTGTCGTCCGCGTTGTTTGTTGGCGGCGACGTCGTCGTCGTCGTCGCCGGGTGGACGGGGGCGGGGGGGATGGGTGGAGGAGGTGGAGGTTCTAGACCCTTCGAACAATTTTCCAGGGAGGAGGGGGGGGAGAGGTATGAACCCCTCCGAGTAATTTTCCAGGGGGGGGGGATTCCCCTGGTGGGGATGGCCCCGGAGGCAGGGGGGGGTGTCCGGACCTCCCGCTTCTTGCGGCGGCGAGGGGGAGTTTGGGGAGGGAGGGGGGGGGGCCTTGGTTTCTGACTTCCGCTTTATACAATTGTTCAAGCCAGCGAGTCTCAAGGGAAACGCTTGGCCTGGCCTACTGACACGTCCGATGGTGCGATGAGGGAAAGCGTACATAATGAAAATGGAGGGAGGGGGAGGTGAAGAGGGGAGACGGGAGGAGAATCACTGAGCTATTTGCCTATGACCCCACACTCGTTTCCCAGATGGCGCGCATGAGCGTATGGTCTGCGCGCGAAGTGAGTTGCAACGACGGGTAAGTAGAGAGAAAGGGACAGGATGAGACAGAGGGGGGGCAGGAGAAAGAGGAGCAACAGGAGGTGGAGGAGCAGAAGCAGGATACAAAATCAACGAATATACATACATACATACATACATACATACATACAGACAGACAGACAGACAGACAGACAGACAGACAGACAGACAGACAGACCTACCTACCTACCTATCTACCTACCTACATACATACATACATACATACATACATACATACATACACACATACACGCAAACCTACCTGCATGCATACATACATACAGACATGAAGACATACATACATGCATGCATACATACATGTATCCATACATACATGTGCGTAAAAATGTCGAAGTAAATACAACATCGACACAGTAGGAGGAGGAGGAGGAGGACGAGGAGGAGCAGCATGATAAGCAAACGATACTTGGATTCAACGGAGCCCTTATAACATTGAGACCACGATTTTGGCATTGTGTCCGTTGACCGCCCCATTGCAGACAGCCCAACATCGAGGCCAGCGAGCACATCCACCTAAATTGTGAAGCAGATTCTTGGCCGATCGCGTAGCGATCGCAGTGATCACCGACCGCGTGATCAGATCCTCCATTATCACGCCTTTCGCCCTGATTTGTTGACGCGAGTGGCTCGTATTGAGCGCGGTGAGGTTTGTGATCGGCTTCTTGACCAGATCAAATAATTTGGGGTGCGATGAGTTTCGTGGTCAGCCAGACAGCGACTCTCACTGCAGGCAAGTTGCCAGTGCATAGTTGTCAGGAGCACAGGCGAGCCGTTTAGATGTAATCGGATTCGAAATTGTTCCAGCTGTCCTCTCGATCATGTGCAGCTCATCACACAAGGCCAGCGGATAGGCCATGTTTTCCCGTCCCATCTCCTCCCAATCATCGTGCTCCTATACGTATCCAGATGTTAGTCCGTGTTGTCGGCTTGGGAAGGGCAGGAATCGTGGACGTCGCGGCTTCTGAGCGATTCTTTAGAAGCGCCTTCGGTGCTTCCACGCGGCGGGCATGGGAACGTCGAGGATGCAAGATTGAGCCCAAAGGTGTCTCAGAGTATTGCGGATGAACATCACATGATTTGCCAGTTGATGTTGCGAATCGGAGTCCCTTTCCCCTCCCGTCCATTATTTGCACGCGATCGTAATTGTTCCGTCGATTGCGATGCTCGCCGAAGGGCAGCTTTCCTGGCAGCTCAAGCTCGAAGACAGCTCCAAGACAATGACCCTAGTATTCAGTCGGTCCCTCCCTGTTTGAGCTGCTGCCACAGAGCCGAATCGGCGGAGCTTCGGAGGGAAAGTCGAAGCCGCGCAGGGGGTATGAGGGCATACGTTTTCAGCCCGTTCAGCACGTCAGCTGCCTCTTCGAAACCAACTCCCAGGCGCGATCGTGACTTCTATGCAGGCTGATTGGCCTGAGCATGTCTGTTGTGGCACTTACTATTCGGTTATAGTTCGCTCTCTCTCTCTGAGGAAGAGGAAGAGGAGGATCACAGCAATAACGAGAACCGAGAGGGATCAGAATAGGAGAGGGCCGAGGCAGACTGAGGTTCCACAAAACCCGCATGCGGGGAGAGTCGCAGTGTCGCCCATGACACGAGCGAAAAGGATAGCGATGCCCTGGCTCTGACTAGAGCCTAAGCGCGCGTAGAACCCGCGCGTGGTTCTAGTGTGAATATATATATATATATATATATATATGTGAGATATATATATATATATATATATATAGAGAGAGAGAGATGTGTCTGTACATCCCCAGGCCGAGAGATTTTTCCTCTTGGACCAGATATGTAGAAAAAAACACCGATGGATCCAATGGGATTTCTTTGGGTGTGCGACAGCGTCGTGGATCCTATATCTGCCTCGCGCGGATCCAATGTCCCGTGTGTGAAAGACCAATGACCCCATTCATTTTCCAGGAATACATGTATAATAAAATGTAACATCCCGGACCCACGGGAAATTGGATCCGCGGGGCACCGCACGTGAGGCATGATGCTATTCACGGAATTGTGGATCTGTTGGCCATATCTATGAGTATACGGGGAAAAGGGGGGCTACAGCGGGCCCGGCCATTTCCCGCATTTCCTCCCATGACATATGGCACGTCCCAAGCCGAAGAGAGCGCTACATGTATCATCTCACATGAACAGCACGCCGTTTCCGACATTTCGGGCTCAAGAAGAAAGTTTTCGGCCTGCGTAAGTATATATGCACTGGTAAGTATAGACGCTTCGCGTAACCCCACCAGCCCATCCAGAAACAATGCCCAGACGAGTTGCCCTGATCAGGGATGTGGAGGGGCACGCAGTGAAATAATGAGCTGTGTAAGACTTCGTACCCCAAGAGGGGGAGGATAGAGGAGGAATCGGAGGAGCAGAAGGAGGAGGAGGAGGAGGAGGAAGAAGGAGAGGGGGAGGGAGAGAGAGGAGGACGAAGGAGGAAGTAGGAGGAACAGGCGGATGAGGAAGAGGAGGAGGAGGAGGAGGAGGAACGCGAGCAGAAAGGCCATAGGCTTCTTGGATACCTCTCGGAGTCTCTTCGGATTTCTTTCGAGAGCTTATTAGAGTCCTCTTGGGGAGTCGTGGGGTATCTTGGCAGTCCCGGGCGCCTCTTGAAGCGTATTGGGTGCCTCTTGGGAGCCTCTTGGGTCCGTCTTGGGCCACCTTTGGAAGCTTTGGGGGCTATTGTAGAGAGATCGATCAAAGAAGGGGGGCTCCTGAATTAGGGTCCCCCCCCAGGAGGCTAAAATGTGGCCACAATCTTACTAAAATCAATGATTGTGGCCTTCTCGCCGAGGCCTCTTGGGGCGTCTTCAGTGCTTCTGGGGGCATATTGAGGAGCTCTTGGGGGTCTCTTGGGGCCTCCTGGGCATCTCTCGGGGCCCTCGTGGGGCACCCTTGGAAGCATCCGGGGTCATTTCGGGGCCATCTAGGAGGAGATCGATCAAAGAAGGATGAAGTTCCAATTAGCACACACACACACACACACACCCTGGGAGGCCAAAATGCTGCCAACACTTTTTTTGTAAAATCAATGATTGTGGTCTTCTCGCCGAGGCCTCTTGGGGCGTCTTGGGTGCCTCTGGGGGCCCTGTTGGGGCACCCTTGGGAGCCTCGGGGGCCATCTTGGAGAAGGAGATCGATCAAAGAGGGGGGCAGGTTCAATTTGCGCACACACACACACACAGGCACACCAGGAGGCAAAAATGTGGCCAAAACCTTAGTAACATCAATGATTTGGGATTCCTCGCCGAGGCCATCTTGGACGCTCCAGTGCCTCGCGACACCCCCCCTCCGAACGGGAAAAAGCGGTTCTCCGGGAAAATACTTGGCTCTCCGGGAAAATGGTTTGTTCTCCGTGGGGAAGTAGCAAAATGCCAAGTCGGTTAGTTCTCCGGGTGATCCTTTTACAGGTTTTCCACCCGCCACCCCCCAAAAAGTATCTTGGCGAAGGTCCCAACCATATGCAGTTGTGGGTACCGTAATTGTGAATATCTGCTGCGGTGAAGCTCCCTATGGGGCCACGAAGCGCTGCACTGGGCGGGGGGGAACGCTGTACTGTGTGGGTGGTGTGCCGACTTGGGTTTGCGGGACACATGCGGACGGTCCCATTGAGGGTTTCGATGGAGCTCCCTATGGGACCACGAAGCGCTCTATTGAGTGAGTGAAAATGCCAAAGTGGGTTACCGGGACGCATGCGGACGTTCCCACTGGGGGCTTCGTGAAGCCCCTATGGGGCCACGAAACGTTGCATTGCGCGGGTGCAAAATGCCAAATTACATTTCACGGACGCATACGGACGGTGGCACTGGGGCCTTGGGTGGAGCCCCCTATGGGGCCACGAAACGCTGCACTGAGTGCGTGGAAATGCCAAATTGGGCTTCCGGGACGCATGCGGACGGGGGCAATGGGGCCTTCGGTGGAGCTCCCTATGGGGCCACGAAACGTTGTACTGGGTGGGTGAAACTCAGGGAGGAGGAGGAGGGCCACGAAACGCTGTACTGGGTGTGCGGGACGCATGCGCACGGTAGCGCTGGGACCTTTGGTGGAGCTCCCTATGGGGCCACGAAACGCTGTACTGGGTGTGCGGGACGCATGCGGACGGTAGCACTGGGACCTTCGGTGGGGCTCCCTATGGGGCCCCGAAACGCTGTACTGGGTGTGCGGGACGCATGCGGACGGTAGGGAGGAGGGGGGGGGCACGCGAGGAGGAGAACGCGGGGACCGTCTCTTCAAAACGAAGACCCAACACCACAGGATGGTTGGGACAAAAAACCAACAACAAGCCCCAAACCCTAAACCCCAAACTCCAAACAACAAACCCCAAACACCAAACACCAAACCCCAAACACACACCAAACACCAAACACCTAACACCAAACCCCAAGCCTCAAAGACCAAACACCAAACACCAAACCCATAACACCAAATCCCAAGCCCCAAAGACCAAACACCAAACCCTAAACACCAAACACCAAACACCAAACCCATAACACGAAACACCAAACACCAAACCCCAAACACCAAACACCAAATCCCCAATCCCCAATCCCAACCACCAAACACCAAACACCAACCGCCAAACACCAAGCCCCGAGCACCAAACACCAAACACCAAACCCCAAACCCCAGGCCCCGAACCCCAAACTGCAAACACCAAACACCAAACCCCAAACACCAAACACCAAACACCCAACACCCCACACCAAACACCAAACACCAAACCCCAAACACCAGAACCCTCACACGACACTTCCTCGCTATCACGATTTCCTTCGTCCCATTGTGCGATGGTTTTCGCTAGTCATCCGCTTGTTCCATCTGTTCCTTGAAAGTTAACGGGCAAAGGGAGGAAGAGACACATCATGAAAAATAGCGGGTATCCAAGGTGAGTTGAGAGATAACAGGGGACAAGGGGTTGGTCTCTTTGGGCCAATTTGGGGCCCGCGCGGACGGCGAGGGTAGGACGAAAAGGAGGGGCAGGATGATGGTGATGATGATGGTGGTGATGATAATCGTGATGGTGATGGTGGTGATGATGATGGTGTTGATGATGAGCAGGAGCGGGACGAGGAGGAGGAGGACCAGCGGGACGACGAGGAACAGGAGGAGAACCAGGACAAGGAGGGAGACGACAATGATGACAAGCACGATAACGAGGACGAGGACGAATGCAAGGACGAGGGGGAGGAGGACGAGGACGAAGACGAACAGGAGGAGGAGGAGGCAGATGACGGGGACGTTTGTTCACGTGTTGCGTGTTGTGTACGTGTTGTTCACACGTTGAGTATACGTGCCGTCTGCTTTGTGTGTAATTTACTTATATTTGTCGTATATGTTGCGGATACGCTTTGTATGAATGTGTGGTATGTGGGTCGTATAATATTCTGTGTCGTCGAAAATCCGTGTTTGTTTCGTA